GCCAGGACCCTCGCGGGGCCGAATGTGAAGGGGCTTCCAGGTCCCGTGCCCCGGCGCGCTCTCCTGCGGCGCCAGACTGGGATAGAGCGCGGGCTGCAGAGAAACTGGGACGCGGAAAAGCAGCTGCGGCGCCAGCCTGCCGCGGGTCCCGACTCTGGAGAGAGGAAGGAACCCGGAGGGCGCTGGAGGGGGTCGGCTGGCGGCCACCTCTGGCTCTCGGCAGCCGGAAGAAGAAAAGGAGAGCGAACTCACTTTCTCCCGAGGGACAAGAGAGCTCGGCGGGCTCTCCCCAGGCCTAGGACACAGGTTCCCAAGTGCCGGCACTCCGTCCTTCCGCTGCCTGCCCGGGACAGGGGATACTTGGAATGCGGAGAGGGACAGCGGGCAGCGGCACCTCCCTCGGGCTAGTCCAGGCCTGCGCCGCTCTCTGCACAAAACGAAACCCAAACTCCCAAAAATCTCAAGAGGGAATTTTTTTAAAAAAAAATCTTATTTTTCCTTCTTTCACTTTTAATAAACCGGCTGCTGGGAAAAAACTTAAAAACGAAATGGGCAATAGCTAAGGACAGTATCTTTCTAAATTGTGTAATCTCCTCTTTAAAAATATTTTCCCCAAGGCCAACCCCACGACTGGCCAGTCCTTCCGTAGCCTTTGCCTGTTCCTGAAAATCACAACAAAACAATCGGAAATGCGGCCACCGTCCCGGGAAGGAGTAGCCCTGAGGCCCGGGGACCACACTGCTGCAGAATGCTCTTCTTTCTGTTTAACCGAAAAATAAAAAAAGATAAGAAGAAGTAGTAAAACCTTTTAATAGATCAAATATACGGAATTTTAATCTTTAAAGCGATACATTGTCTATTATTTTAGTACATGACGTAAACCTTACTTGTCCCCTTCTTGGCGGTTGGACTTAAAAATTAAAAATAGTTGTGTTCCTTTCAAAGAACAAAATAAGGCAAATGAGGTTTGGAATAGAATTGTTTTTCCTTTTTTTTTTTTTCTTCCAGAATACATACAAAAAAATACCCATTCTCTTTGGATGGTGTACACCTTAAAAATAATTGCAATCTGAAATCAGAGCTGAGAAATTGTGACTTGCTTTGTTTTCATTTTTTGTAACAAACATGCATGTAAATTTGTGTTTCTATCAGACATTAAATAAGAACGTACGATACAATCATAGCAATTTTAAAGTAACGTTAAAGAGAAGACCTCTAGTTCTGTGGCGGTTTTGTATTTATTTATAATCTACAAGGGACGGGAGGGTTTGTTTTCCACATTTTTACCCTCAAGTTTTAGTTCTTTTCCCCTCCTCTTTATTTTTTTGTTTTTTTACCTACGGAGCTCAAACTAAATAATGCACTTTTGAACCACGGGTCCGCTTGGAGCTAACATAAATAAATACCAGTGTCCACCGACGCAGTCCTCAGAGGAACACTTTCTCAATTATTTTTTCCTTCTTTTTCTATAAAAAGTCAAATGATATTTTTTCAACTTTTATAAAGTTTGGGTGGGGAGGTGAGAGGTGGGAGAAAGGGATGTTTCCCACCGGGTCTCGGTCGCTGTTTCGGGTAGATAGATATGGTATATATTTTTTTTCTTTCCTGGCCCGGGTCATCCCCAAGCGCGGGTGACAGTAGCCTCTGCCCCGTTCCCGCCCCTCCCTCGGCTCCTCCCCTCCCCCCAAGCTCCTTTCTCTCCCTTGCTAGCCCTCCCGACAGCCCTCACTGATACCCCAGTGCCGAGGCCGTGGTCAGTCTCTGTCCGTAGAGGGCGTAGGGGGAGTAGTAGGGTCCGGTGGCGGCGGGCACCGGCACGGGAGCGCCGGGCGTAGGGAGCGGGCTCTTAGAATAAGGGTGGTAGCGGCTGCTGAGTCCCAGCGCGTGATGGGGGCTGCGCAGCGCCAGCGTCCCGGGGCTGCCCGGAGCACCGGACGTGGGGATGTGCATGTGGCAAGCCATGGCGGCCGCCGCGGCGCTGGCCAGGGAGGACGAGCTGGGGTAGCCCGACAGCAGTTTGTCTGTCCCAGGGAATGCCGTATGGGTCCGCAAGTGGCTCAGCAGCTCTTCGGACGTGGCGAAGCGCTTGTCGCACGGCCCATTGGCCGACACCCAGTTGCAGATATGGGGGAGCGGGTCGTTAGGGAGCATGAAGCCGTAGGGGTAGAGAGGGTGGCCGGCCAGGGAGGGCGGTGTGGCGCCGGCAGCGGCGGCAGCTGTTAGCGATGAGTGCACGCCGTGCAGCGGGTGCGTGGGGTACACCAACGGGTATCCGGACTTGAGCGCCGCGGCTGGATCGTGCGCGCACGAAGCGCTGGCTGCCGCCGCCCCTGCCAGGTGGCTGGCGCAGTGGTAGCTGAGGCAGTACGGGTCCCGGCACAAACTGGCTGTCATCACGGACGGAGGCGACGCCCCGGCCAAGGGACTCGAGCCGGCCGGCTTACTGCAGCCCAGAGAGCCCGCCGCGGCCGCTGCCAGCTGCGCCCCCACCAGGCTGCCGGGCTTGGTGGGGTCGAGCGCCACGCCGTGTGGCAGGAACTGGGGAGGGTAGCCGGCGTAGGCCCCAGCCAGGCTGCCTGGGTAGGTCATGCCTGCGGGAGGCAGAGGAAACACTGTCTGGCCCGGCTTGTAGGGCGATACGGGCGCCACCAGCCCAGAGCCCAGCACGGAGGAAGAGGTGGGCGCGCTGGGGCCCGAGCCGGAGCTGGAGCCCGATGATCCGCCGCAGTCCGAGCCTAAAGCCTTGCCCCCGGGGCCCCCATCTGGGTGCTGGTTCACATCCACATTAATCCCACCACCGCAGCTAATCCGGCCGTGCGCCAACCCAGTGGGTCCACCTTCGGCCGAGGCGCCCCCGGAGCCCTTGCCGCTGCCACCGCCGCCGCCGGCGTCGGGGTCCTTCTTGTCGTCTTTGCCCTCCTGGCCGCCCCCGGCCGAGGGCAGCATGCCTCCTGGCGAGCAGGCCGAGGCGCTGGAGCTTGGGCTGCCTGTCCTGGGCGTGAATGGCTGGCAGGTGGCGCTCGGTACCCGGAATCCGGACTTCTCTGCCGAAACCCCCCCTCCGCCGCCCCCGCCGCCCCCTCCTCCGCCGCCTCCCGGCTCCTTCTTATCCGAGCCAGGTTTGGAGTACGGCTTGAAACTCGACTTGTCCTCCACGCCGATGTCGCTCAGCTTGAGGGGGCCCGACTTTGCGTCCTTGTCGCCCGCGGCGCCGCCGCCGGCACCGCCCGCGCCGCCCCCATTGGAGGCGACCGAAGAGAGTTTGGAGGAGGGCGAGGGGTCGGGCTTCCCGATCTGTGAGCATGTTTGCGCCAACAGCGCCAGCGGGCTCTTCTTGGCATCAAGCTGCGGAGTCAGGCATTGGGGGCGAGTGGGGGGGGGGGGGGGGGGGGGGGGACACAAAGAGAAAGAATGGGAAACCCTTTAGAATCCTGGCTTCTAGGGTTCAAACGGCCCTCCACAGCAGCCCGCGAAGATCCTCCCAGCCCCAAGGCGCAATTCTAGGCGGCACCCCCACTACACACACATAGTCGCCCTTGAGAAGGCGGTAGCCCTCCCCCCCCCATCAGTATCTTTCCTGCCTTCTCTAAGCGCTAATTGGATTTTTAGAAAACTCACAAAATGTTTGGGTTTCTGACTCCTTGCTCCAGAACTGTATCCCCCACCCTCACATCCTTAATTCTTCAGAGTAAGGGTATGAGCGGATGGTGCCTGAGGCTGGGTACAAATACCAGCTTCAAGGGAACGGAAGGACTGCGACTTTGGAACCATATTTCGGACTCCCGTCCGCCTTCCGGGCCGGGAGTGAGGGGGCCTGGGTCGGGGTAGCGGCTTTAATACCAAAGGGAGAGTAAGTTTTGCCTGCCTTGCCCCTTGGCATTCACACCCCAATCTATCTTCTCCCCTTTCCGCCCTAGTTTTAAGGTGCGGGAGCACTATCCTCTCTCCCCATCCCGGAGCTGAATCACTTCGACCTCCCTCCACCCCCAGATCCCAAGAGAAAGAAATCTCGTGGAGATTGGTGGTGGTGGTGGCACCCAGCTAGGTGGTCCTAGAGCGATTCGGGGAGAGGGTCCTTACCTCGATGGGGCTGACAGGAGTCGAAGGTAAGGGCTGCAAGTACTCGGGGTGCAAAATATGGCCAGTCCGTGCCGTCAGCATCTTCAGCACCTTGATGGGCAGGCGGTTAGCCTGGCGGAGAGGGTCAGAGGGAGGCACGGCGTGCACAAAAGGCTTGGTGCTGCCGGCCAGGGACGAGCCGGAGCCGGAGCTATTTCCAGAGAGCGCACTGGTCCAGGCAGGGTCTGCACTGCCACTGCCGCCGCCGCTGTGCTTACTGCTTCTTAGGGCAGAAAGCGAGGGCGCTGTGCTCATGACCCACCCGCGCACATGGGAGCAGCGGGGGGAGGGCTCCAGGAGGCGTGGGGCGGGCTTGGGGCTGCGCGCTCGCCCGGGGAGCAGGAGCAGGAGGAGGAGGAGCTGGCGCGGCGGCCACGGGTGCCCAGCGCGCCTTCTCGGCGCCTGGAGCCAGAAACGAATAATCCTGGGTGGCCCGCAGCGGAGCAGTGGCCGAGCGGGAGGAGCTGGCCCGACTGCAGCAGTGCCGGGTGGCTCGCGGTGTCCTCCTCCGGCTGTGCCCCTGCGCTGCGCACTCGCGGCCCGGCGCCGGCGCTGTGCTCTGCGATGTGAGCCGCTGCCTGTCCAGCCGGGGCTCTGGCGAGGAAACTCACTTCAAAAGCAGCTGCACCCAGGGGGAGATTAAAGCCTTTGCCGCCTTCCAATCAAATGGGAGCCCGAGGTGATTGGAGGGTCAAGGGGATGTGACGCGTCCCGCGCCGCCGCCGCCGCCGCCGCCGCCGCCGCCGCCGCCAGGACTCTCAGCGCGGGTTTTAATGGGCAGCTCCCTCTTCACCGCACCTCCTGCCTGTCCCCTCCCTCGGTTTCACTCAGAGGACGAGCTGGACATTTATTCTATGTTTGCTATCTGCCGCCGCCCTCTTTTTTCCTCCCTGTCGTCTTTCTTTTTCCCAGCTCGAAAATAAACTGAAATCTTTTGCAAGAGGGTGCATGTGAGGAACAGAGTGAGGGGGTGTTCAGAAAGAGCACCGGCGGGAGTCTGGACAACAGCCAGACTGTCGACTCCAGGGGCGAACAGTGGGCCCGCACACCAAATACTCTCTCGTCCTCGGCAATTGAAATCTCTCTCGGCGTGGCCGCCAGGGCAAGGAAAGGTGGGTAGCGGGGGTTGGAGGAAGTCTGCCCGCCCGCTTTGATTTCCCGAGATTCGGCGGCGGAGAAACCAGAAGTTAGATGGGCAGCAGAGCCAGTGGCGGCGCGGCTCGGCTCGGCTCCAAGCTGTGAGCCGGGATCCCCGCCCTTCCCGGCCACGTGATGCCCGGGGACGCGCAGATTGGGGCAAGAGCGGGGGTCACATGTTTCCTCTGTTTCACACTCAGCCCCCCCCCCCCATTCTTACTCTCCCCTGCCACCCTCTCTCCTCCTCTCCCTCTGCCCCCCGCCACTAGTTTTTTGGGCATCTCCACCCCTCCATCAATTGTCAATGTTCCTCGACCGCAATCAATCAGTTATTTGTCAGCTCTTGTCAATCCGCCGGTGATTTATGTCAGCTTTTGTTGCTGATTACAAGGCGGGTGCGACTTGAAGGGAAAAAGAGGGAGAGAGAGACAGAGAGGAAGGAAGAGACCGAGGGGGAACCGGAGGAGGGGGAAAGAGGAGCAGCCTCCTGGGATGCGGGGGGGAGGGGGGGCGGTGCTTTAAGAAAAAGAATGAAAGAAGGGAAAGGCGCTCAGTGCCAGAAAAATGAACAGTGAGAGTAAAGTGCGCAGGTGTGCCCAGGGCGCAGAGATGGGTGTGCAGACCTGGGGTGTGCGTCTGGCCCCTTTCGGTGTCGGAGAGAGAGATACATCCTTCCATCTCTGGGGACTTCAGTTCGTTGGGGCGGCGGATTCCGGAGCGGCTGCTGGTACCCGAGGCGGGCAGCGGCGGCGTCTTACATGGGATATCCGGCTCACCCCGCCATAGTCCCTCGGGGGCGTATAGCATGCGGAAGTCCGGCTGCCAGCCTGCTGCGGACCCCACCCTCCAAACTGGCCTGACCTCAAACTCGGAGTCTTCTTTCTAAGAGCCAACCTAACCTTAAGTCCTAGAGGTCAATAGTGGGGTTACCTCGGGGCCCCGCCTCAATTTTTTGAAACCCCCCCCTCCCCCCCAGATCGTGGCTAGTGCTGAGAGGCTGCGAAGAAGAGGCTTGACCGTGGGTGTGTGGGGGAGATACGTCTCAGGCTTTCTCAGGCCTACCTCCCCTGTCCTCCCTCACTGCGCGCCATCCCTCCAAGCTTCGTAGCCGGGTTATTCCGGGCAGCTCGCTTGAATTTATTGTGACGCTGCGCTGGGACTGACCTGGGCTTGGGAGAGCAGGGGGAAGTGGGGGGAAGGGTAGCGGTGCTGCCTGTGGGATCACCGGCTCTTCCAGGGAAACCGAGCGGGACTGCCGCGTTCCCCTCGATTTGCACTGTCACTCGGGCTGTTTGGAAAGAAGAGGGGAGGCGCTGTGCGTGCCTCCATGTACTTGGATCTGGGTGCACAAGTGTGTATGTACGCCCATGCCGCTGTGTGAGTTGTCAGGGCTTTGATAACGTCCAGAGCAAGTTCGGGGGTCACCTCCAGAAACTCGCAGAAACTGGAAAGGGGCGAGCGGAGGACACATGCCTTTCCTCGGAAGGACTTGGAAGACTTTGAGTCTCCCCTCCCCCACTTTTCCGCCCCGGCTCTTCTTTTGTTGTCAAGTCCTTTTGATAAACGGTGGGGCAGGGAGAGTAGGGAGCCAAGAGCCAGTCTTTACCCGCATGGGGGGCGGGGGCTGGGCCTGGAGACCTGGTTTCGAGGGGCGCTCGCCCGGAACTGAGCCGCGTACGCCCGCCCGGGGGTCGGGTCTGGAACCTGCCCTCGGCGTGCTCGCTCTCTCTTTCACCACCCCATTCCCCTCTCCCCCATTTTTGTCTCTGTCTCCCACTCCGCACAGGTACCGAGAACTTTCTGGGGTGAGTTTTAGAATTATCTTGTAGGCATTCTTTTTTTCTGCGTTTTCATCTTATCCCTTGATTCTTTAGGTTGGTAAACTTCATGAGATGGTATCGTGACTAAAGATGATTTAGAGAAGAGGGGAGTGAGGCGGTGTGTATTTTGGGCTGCTGTTTGTTGTGTGTATGTGCGCGTGTGTGTTGGTGTAAGAACACATCTGCGTTCAAGGGGGCTTAGAGTGTCTGCCTTTGCGACAACAGAGGAAGGTGAGTCCCTGAGACGGGGGCGAGGCCACACGCGAGGTTGTGAAGGTTGTCTGAATAATCTTTGAGGAGCAAGTCCCAGGTGCCCGTTTCTGAGAGCAGGACAATCCTAAGCTGTCTCTGCAGGGCAGCGTGTCTGTGAGGTCGCTTGTATCCTGCGGGTGTGTTAGTGCCTGTCTGTGTCATTAAATGCCCGGCTGTCGACGTGTCGGCCTGGATCAACTGAAGAGTCCTTGGCTCTGCGAGCCTAGCCATGGGCCGCGTGTCTCCGCGGCCGCCCGGCGAGGCCGGGACATTGAATGCTGGGGGCGGCGGCCAGAGCAGGGTGACCGTGGGCGTCCCTCCCTCTCTTCCCGGAGTCTCCAGACTCAGTTCTTTCCCTCTCTTGGAATTCCAGCAGCTTTGTTTTTACGCCGTGCTGTTTAGAGGCGGTAGCCTCAGCACCTAAAGCCTGGGGGAACCAGAGAGTGGCCCCTGCGTCCCCTGGAATGGGCGTGCAGCGGTGTGGCCGCACAAGCTCGCGGGCCTACGCCGTGCGGCGCGCGCGCGGGTCGTGGTCTGCGTGCATTAGCTCTTCGCAAAACCCAGCTCCAAAGGTCCGAGCGCACGGGGGCGCCTGGGGGCCTGCGCACCCCGGGCTTTCTGGAGGTGCCAGCCTCCGGGCTTGCGCACCTCGCCAGGGAGGCCAAATCTTCCAAGGCCGCGCCGGCGGTGGGGGCGGGGGAGTTACTAATTACTGCGCGCTAGGCCTAAAGCCTCCAACCCCCAGCGGCGGTTGGCATGGATGTCCTGCGGGTTTTATTTGCACACAATGGAAATGATTTGTTTTCTCTAAAAAAGGAGTAGGCATGGCAGATATTTGAGGAGGGGGTGGGAGGAGAAGGAAGGGGAGAGAGCTGAGGAAAAAGTTTGAAAATGCCTTGAACTATTCACTGTCGAGATGGCTAATCAGTATTGAGGCCGGAGGGCAGGCGGGCCGCCTTTCACCGCCGCTTCGCTTTCATCTAGGGCTCGGCGGAGGCGCTCAATTAAAAGCCTATCAGTTTGTAAGTAAATCAACGCCTATCAGAGTTGTCACATCAAACAAAACGATTATTATTGCAGCCCGCCTCCCCTATTAATCTCCCTCGAAGATAATCCGCCTGACAGGTCAGGCCCGGAGAGCTGGAAAGCCTGGCCCAGAGCGCCCAAACAGTCCCGGACTGGCGCGCACCCCTGGGGGCCTCCCCAGCCCCATCCGGCCCCGCCTTGTGGTCCCCTGGGAGGGGGTAGAGAAAGAGCTTAAGGAGGCCGCTGGACCCAGGCCCGTGCCTCTGGACTGGAAGCGGGGCCCAGACTCGTGAGCCTGGTGCGGGACGGTCCCGGGCGGCCCTCGCCTCTTCTGGGGGCCGCGGAGGCACCCGGCTTGCGGGAGCCCCTGCCTGGCCTCGTCCCCGGACCTTGCCACGGCCTGCACTCTTCTCGGCTCGCCTCCCCGGCTCTTTTCCCCACCCTCTCTCTTTTCTCTTTTTTTGTTTCCTTTCCCGCTTCTTTCTTGGCTCTGTAATCATTTTCTTCTTTTTCTCCCCTCTTCCTTTCCCCTTTTTCTACTTGCCAAGGAATATCTCCTATTCTCTTTCCCTTCTCTTGGTATACCTTATATACCACTTCCGCGCAGTCACACTGTTTGAAGCATGGCATTCTCAGGGCCCGGGTTATTTCTCTGCGGCAGGGCTGTCTCAGGAGTGTGCAATTCCTAGGAACTCATGACAAAGTCTTTCCTAATTTCTCCCCAATTAGGGGCTCTCAGAAGCGCTGTGTCTGTTTAAGGGTTGGGTGCATTTGGAGGGGTGAGAAAAAAAGAGACCAAGGCAATGAGATGGATGGACGGTTGCAAGCGCCGTATTCTGAAATTAATATTTGGTCTTGGAATTTCACAGCTGTAACGTCCCCGACCTCGCTGATGGCGTTGCCTGGGCTTTGCAAATATGCGGAGGAGACTCACGGGGCATCTGGGCCTCAGCACTGAGTATGTGAGGGAGTGCCTAACATTTCATTAGTAAATACACCCAGACAACTGCTTCTATGGCCTCAAACTGGCCCTCCGCGGGCCGGGGTGGGCCTGGATTCCGCACGGGGGCGAAATTGTGGCCTTGTTCCCGGTGGCCTTCGGCTTCGCTCTTTGGGCTGCCTCGGAACCAAGCGCGACCTGCCCTTTTCCGCGCTCTTATTCCAAATCGACAGGCCCAAACGGCCACCGCCTGAGCCCAGTAGAGCCCAGATTGAGGGGTGGTTGAAGTGTCTGAGGGGAAAGGGCTGCCTGCGGGACCCCAGGCCCTGCTACCCTAAATGCCAGGTTCAGCGTCGGGCGAAGGCTCCTTCTCCGCACTGTATCCGAGAGAACCCCCAAGGCGCGGCAGTGCTGGCCGTCTGGGACTAGCCTCTCGCAACAGTCACGCCCGGGTCTGAGCCCGCGGATATCGGATAGAGCCCACCAAAGCGTGCTCGGCGCCTGGAGCTGCAGGACTCGTGGCCCCCACCCCGGGTTCCCGAAAGCCCCCCTATTTGTACGCACTTTCCACGCCGACCTGGTAGGAATATTTATTTCCATATCCAGAAATGCTGTGGCTCAATTATCTGCGTGCCTGCTTTTCTTAAATGTATTTATTTCACTGCTGCCACGCCGCATATGTTTAAAGAGGTACACTTTTAAAGAGGTACACTTCGCGCCTCAACAATGCAGAACTCACTCCAGCTATAGGAAATATTCGCTGGGTGATTATTTGGACATAAGTGCTATCTCGAGCCCAGACAACATCCAAGCAGGGGCTGTAAAAATACACTTGCTCTAAAATTTTTCCAACTTAACTATATGTGCACACACCGAGAATTTAAGGTATTTTATATCCCTCTATAGATCTAAACATTAAGACGTTATGTTACATGCTCTTGAAACCAGAAGCGATCTTCCGTTCACCCTGGACGTGGAGCTGTTTGTATAATATTCATCTTCCTGCACTTACACATGAATTTTGATCTAATAAATTCAACCTTGTCATTTTTAGAATCGACGGGATTTCTCTGGCTGGTGTTTGAGCTGCCTGTATCCGAATAAATCCAGCTCTCAAGCGTCCGGCAGGAAACGGCTCCGGGTTTGCGCGTACGCAGACGCATCGGCCAGCGCGGGACGCGTTGTGGCTCCTCCTGTTCGTGCCGCGGCAGGTCCGGCCTCTGAGGGAGGCTAGCCCAGCAGCGCCTTTAGGCCGAACGGCCGCTCGCGGCCCGGCAGTGCCTGGCAGCTCCCATCTCCGGCGGTAGTCGGCAACCGCTGGGCCAAGTCCGCCCGCGGCGAAAACTGAAAGCAAATTCCGCGGCAGATGAAGCCCGAACTTTCTTGGACGCAAGTTTGCAGTAGAGATTCGGTGGCGGCTTTGGGAGGACAGCGCGCTAGTGTGTGCGCGCGCAAGGTGGGGCGGTGGGCGAAGAGAGCACCCGGCGGCCGAGCCTGGCCCGAGGCGAAACACTAGGGAAGGCGCCTTCCCTTCTTTATTTCTCGCCAACTCCTCGGCTCCTGTCCGTAAAAATAGTTTCCAAGGTGCCTCGGACGCCCAGAATGTGTTTATGGGGATCGCACCAGAGAAAGGAAGGCTTTGTAAAAGTTGTAGAAAGAGCTTTGCGCAGCGTTCGCCCAGCGGGGTTCAAGAAAGCTTGGGACTAGCTCGCCTTCCCTGGGGAGGAATAGCCAGAAATTGGCCTGGGGAGCCCCCTGCCTAGTCCTGTCCCCTCACCTCCAACCCACGAGTATATAAGCTCTCGCTGCCTGCGCTGCAAACTTCTCGGCGCGGCGCCGCGGTCAGCGGGCGAGGACAGGACGCAGAGCGGGCCGGCAAGGCCGCTCCTCGGAGCTCTCAGCCCCAGCCCTGAGTGAGGCTTGCGCGGAGGTGAGAGGACGAGTGTGGTTCCCGCTCCCACTTGGCTGCCGAAACCGTCATCGCCGACCTCCCAACTCCCGGAGCCGGCGCTTCCCCTGGGAGCGGCGGTCTTGGGGGGCTGGCGAGGGCGCAAATTGCGCGTGCGAAGCGAAGCGCACGAGGGCGGGGGCGGCCGCGGGTCTCTCCGCGGGGCCTGTCGCCGAGCCGGCCGCGGCGGGTGAGTGATGAGGGCAGAGAAGGGCGCCCATAAATCGTGAGTGTCAGGGCGAAAAACTCTCTTTATTGTCTGTGTGATGGATGGGCCCGGGGACGAGACACCAAATACTTCGTATCGCCTTTAAATGGGAACACATTTTCCGCGGCCATAATTCATGTTTTTTAAATAGAAAGTTTGAAATGTTGCCTATATTTCACCGGCCCTGACATATTTATGAATCGCTCCCTGCATGCAAATATCATTATTTAAAGCGCCGGGGAGAGCTGGGGGAGGGGAGGAGGCGCAGCCCCCGGGGCGTGGGGGTGGTGAACCGGGGAAATGCGGATGGAAGGGGGGCCATCTCCCTAAAGTGCGGACGACGAGGCGCGGGGAAGCCGTATCCGGAAACTGAGCTCACTGGGGGCTCCCCTCCTGCCGCCGGACCCCCGCACCGCAGCTCCGGGAAGTTTGCGCGGCTTGGGGCCGAGGACAGTCCCCCGCCCCCTGCTAGGAGACCAAGGGGCATTTTGCGTCCTTCTCCGAGGCTCTGATCCGAGCCTAAACCGCCTTTTCCAAGAAGGAAGTAAAAAAAAAAGAATTTAACAAACGCAAATAATAACAATCCAACATGTTTCGTGTTCTTTGCCGTTGCATCGATTTTATTGATTTTCATTCTGCAAACCTCAGAGTGTGCGCGCCCGAGCGGGACGACTGTCAGACCCCAGTCACCGCGGGAGTGGGTGGGGGATAACCCTCCGGTGCTGCAACCCCGTCCCGCCCCCACCCAACCAGCTCACCACCTCCCAGGCACAACGGAGCCTGCGCAAGACGCGGGGACACAAATGATCCGGCCCCCAACTCCTGGGGGCTTCAGTCCCGCCCCCTCTGCCTCCCCAGGGCACAGCAGCGCTCCTGAAGTCGGCGTCCGCCCTCCCCTAGCCCCACTGTCAATACAATCGCTTTAAGAAAAAAGTCGGATACGTGCCGTCAGCCTCTCCCTTGCCCGTCCAGCCTGGGAGGCACCCACACCTGCGCCCTCACTAGCCCAGTCTTTACCTGTGCCGTCCCCCTCGGCGCCTGCAGCCGCGCCGGTAACAGAGGAATGGAAGGGAGGGGAGTGGCAGGGACAGAAAGCACTGTCCAAGACAGCCAGAAACGCAGACCCAGGACCTCCTCTTCTGACTTGGCGTTGGGGCCCTGGCTGAACTCGCTCTAGTAGCCGAATTGCGCCGGGAAGAGAGGGCCGGGGGAAGGGCGTCGGGAAGGTAACCAGCCCGCGGAGGGAGGGGCCGGCCCGGTGCTACTTCCGTTGGGGGCGGGGCCGCGGGCTGCGCACCGGCCCCGCCCCCAGCTCACCAGGCTCCGCCCTCGCCGGCGGGGTCGCCGGATCTCAGGCCTGGGTCTGCGTTCTACCTGGTGTCTTGGGAGAGCAGTGGGCAGTTCCTTTTTCCCCACCTGGGGGTTCTGTCTTAGGCTTTTTAAATCACAAGAACACAAGCACAAACACATTAGCAACCTTGGCCCAAACTTGCACGTAAGACATTGTCAAACTTCGGTCTTTCGGTAGTCCTGAGACCTTTCCGGCCCAGAGGCTCTCAACATCCTCTGGGATCTGACCAGTCCTCCCCTCAGACAGTACGGAATACATATCCGCGCCCACAGGGTCCCATCTGTCTTTCAGGAAGAACAAAAACAAAAGCTAACACTTTTTTGAGCGTTTGCTTTGTGCCCGATACTATCAAAGAACTGTGTATGAATTATGTCCTCGCGGCAACTCTCAGGTAAGTACCATGAATGCCCTGTTTTATAGATAAAGAAATTGAGGCAAGGAGGGAAGAAATCGGCTTTGCCTCACTCCCATCCCATCCATATCCGTATCATTTGCTTTCTTCAGATCTCTAGCATCCCAACCCATCACTCTGAGAGAATCTAGCGGGGCTTTTACTTACCTTACCGGGGAGTGTCCGCTGGCCTGTTAACCACAGTTGGGGCCCTGCTGAGCTGAGCCGGAGGGGGACCTGCACAGAGGAGGAGAAAACGGTCTGCATGGGGTGGGCTCAACTGCCTCTGGGCAGCTCCCAGCCTGATGGGGAAACTGGACCAAACCCCCGCTGTTTCCCTGTAGTCCTTGCCAAAGCCAGAGTGATCTTTTTAAAAAATCAAATCAGACTATGTTTCTATTCTGCTTAAAAGCTTCTGGGTTCTTATTGTTCTCAGGATCAAGTTGAGCCCGTGGCTGACAGGTCTCTTGATTTGCCTGAGCTTGCCTTTTCTGCCTTTGTCTGTCTCCTGCTCCTCCTCGCCCTGGGCTGCTGATCTCAATGGCTGCCTTTGGGTTACTCAAGTGTGCCATGCTACTTCCCACCTCTGGACCTTGCTAATGTTTTTCCTTCTACCTGGAATGACCTTCTGTCCTTCTCTTAGACTGGCTCCGTGCTCCTCTTCCTTCAGGTCTCAGCCTGCACACCACTTCCCTGAACCCTCCCACCTGGTACTGGGTGAGGGGTCCTGTAACCCTCTCTCAGAGCACTTACTAGACTGGGGACTTCCTGTTGAGAGTCTGTCCCATTCACTGGATGGTAACTCCCCAGGAGGCAGGAACTGGGTCTAATTCTTCAAGGAAAGAAGAAAAGGTTATTTATATATGCTATCCACTGTGCTAGATGAATGAATGGTACCTTTTGGAGTTCACTGCACTTTTGCGGGCCACCAGTAAGTGTTCTCTATGGTCTCACATCCTAAGATGTTTTCAGTTTAATATGGGAGATAACACTAATCTCATGAAAAAAATAATTATTTTAAATCTCTATTTTCTAAATATCAAATATGGAAATGTTCAAGGAGGTTGGAGAAGAGACATACCTATGGTTTCCAGCCATTTATTCAGATTTTCCAAGTGCAAGCTGTGCTGGTTAACACAGTTTAAAGGAAAAACACCGCCCACCCCCGTGACCACTCCTCCCACCATTCAGGCATTATGTCCCAAGGCTCTAGCCCAGACACCCTCTCCTCTTCCTCACGTCACATATTATTGCTATTGTAGTTCAGTTCTTTATTACCTTTTGGCTGAGCTGCTGCTACAAGTACCTTCTAATTGTTCTGTACATCCTCAGCCCTTCTTGCCTCTAATCCATTATGCATACTCTTGCCAGGTTAATTTTCCTTTCTTTTTTTATGTATGTGTTTTGGTTAATTTTCTTGATCACATCATTCCCTCGCCCCAGAACTTCGCTGGCTCCCCATCGTTCACATGTGACACTTGGCTCTTCAGAATCTAGGTCTAATCTACTTTTCAAAGCACTGATTATCTTGCATTCCAAAATTATAAAACTATGTTCACTTCAACTAGCATAGCACTCAAACATATATAAAGAAAAATGTCATCTTGCCCATCTCCTCTCCATTTCCCAGCCAGTCTCCTGAGATATCTAGTGTTAACAGCCTGGAGTGTAACTTCTCTCCCTATCTCCATTCTCACCATACTCATATAAACTACACTTATGTGTATATGGGGCTATTATTGATGCGGGGTCGGTGAGCCAAGGAGTTGAAAGAAAGATTTCTTGGACTCTCAAGGTCTGGCAGTCGTGCTCTTTTATTTAGAGAATAGTGTAGAATAGCATGGGGACAGGACCCATGGGCAGTCAGAGCTTCTGCTGCTGCTGCATGGGGACAGGACCCATGGGCAGTCAGAGCTGCTGCTGCTGCATGGGGACAGGACCCATGGGCAGTCAGAGCTGCTGCTGCTGCTGCATGGGGACAGGACCCATGGGCAGTCAGAGCTCCTGCTGCCCTGAGTTGAGAGTTAGGGCTAATTTTATAAGGCATGGGTACATGACTTATTTTTACTGGAAAAAAGAAAAGATGATGTAAAAAGTCATTAAATGATTTCAGTGCAGATGGGGTCTGGTTATTGTGCAGTCATATAACTTTAGATACGAATCTGGCCATATAGATCGGCATGTACGTGAGGATGCCCTGGGCTTCTCTCCCTGGGGCAGTCCTAATTCATACCATAAAAAAGAGTCCACTGAGTCATATAGTTTGGCATGTAGGCCAGGTCACCTTGGGCTTCTCTAGCTGGGGCAGCCTTAATCCACATCATTATGTCATTGCTTGTTTATACAAAAATGATTATATTAGAATTCTCTGCAACTTGCTCATTTGTTGATAACAAATAGGTCTATAGATATAGAGCTAATTAATTCATTTTTTTAGCTGCATAGAATGGATATACCTCACTTACTCAACCATTCGCCTGTTGATGGTCATATGGGTTATTATCAGTTTTTTCCACTAATAAAATTTCCTGCATCTGTATCCTTGCAGTCAGTGACTTTATTTCTATAGGATAGATTACCAAACGAACAGCTGCCTACACCCTAGCCAGATCGAATTTCTTTGTTCTCCCCACATGTCCTATGTTTTTCCACTCCTCTGTCACCTTTCCCTGGAAGGCCTTTCTCCCTTATCTTGTTTTCCTGATCAAAAGAGATGATGTAGATGTTTTGACCTTTTCCTTTCCCCTCTTTCTCCTTTCTTCCTTCCATGAACTTGAATATAATATCTAGAGCTGTAGCAATCATCTTGTGACCATGAGGAAAAGTCCAAGAGAACAGCAGAGAGAGACTTAATCCTGATGTCACTGGGACACTGAGCCATCTCCAGCAGTCACCCACCTCCCAAACTTTTGTTATATTAGAAAAGTGAAATACCTATTTAAGTCAGTGAAATTGGGGATTTTTATATTTGCAGTCAAACATATCCTTTACCTGTCCCTTTTAGCAAATCTTGTTTCGATTGGTGTTAACCACGATTGAAATACCACCATGTGGTGGTCTGAAAAAGTTTTAGAAACCTATTTTAGACTTGCCTTCAAACATTCTTGAGGTATGGCTTTGGTACTTTAGAATAGCCCAAGGTCACCAGGAGTCAAGTCTGGTCATACCTTTAACCCTCAGTGTTTCTGTAAACTATTGTATGGTGGACATATAGTGTTTTTTACCTCTTTTGTCTGCCTCGCATCTGAATCCCCTTCCTGTTTGTTATAATGCAGGGCCTGCTTCCAACTTCAGAAGCTGAAAGGGCCATATCCTCCTTCTCCCTGCCCCTGAGAGCTGAGGCTCCACTAATGGGATCTTTGACTCTCAAGAGGTGAGCAGAAGATTGGGGTAGGTTGGAAACCCTTCACGGCAGCCTCAGAGACTCTGAGAGCCCAGCGGCAGCATTGAGCCCAATGTAATGGCGTTGACTGTCTAGGGGAGGCAGAGTGGAGAGGATGGTTGCTGCCATGTCTACTGTGATAATGGCAGCCACTCAGGCAGTGGCCTAACCAGACTGTTGCAGTAGCATGACCAACTATATCCTCTATTTCCCAGCCACTTTTGGTTCCTGTCCATTCCACAAGTCTGGGTCTCCAGTGTTCTCACTGATTTTCTGAGTCTGATATCCTTCTGATAGATTCCTTTTCTGCTTAAATTAGCCAGAGTCAGTTTCTGTCACTCACAACCAAGAATATCAATTGATTTACCATAGCCTGGCTCTTTGGGTGGCTTCTAAACAGATCTTATGATGATTACCTCTTAGTTGTGCCCATGGGCTCCTGTGATGGGTACTGGTGGGGACCCCAACACCAAGAAGC